CCCATTCCCAGCCCCGGTGCCCACCTTGTCCCCGGCCAGCACGCGGAAGCTGTTGATGACCTGCTCGGCCGTGTCCGTGTCCGTGGTTTCCTGGGACATGAAGTCGATGAAGGCCTGGAAGGTGACGCTGCCGCTGCCGTTGGGATCCACCACGGCCATGATCCGCTGGAATTCCGCGTCGCCCTGCGGGGAGAGGCGCCGCGGGACGTTCCGGGGCCTTCCGGAAGGTTCTGCCCGCCAGCTCCGCGGCTTTCCCGGAGCTTTGCTTGGATTTTCGGGAGTCGGTTTTCTGTTCCCGGGGTTCCGGCGTTTTCCGCCCGGGATTGCCCGGCCCTCCCTCCCCCCGGGGGGATAAAAGTGGGAGGAAAGGGCAGAGGAAGCAGGAGAGGAGGAGGAAGGTGAGGGAGGAGAGGAAGGTGAGGAAGGTGAGGAAGATGAGGAAGGTGAGGAAGATGAGGAAGGAGAGGAAGGCGAGGAAGATGAGGAAGATGAGGAAGATGAGGAAGGCGAGGAAGATGAGGAAGGCAAAGAAGGTGAGGAACATGAGGAAGGCGAGGAAGGAGAGGAAGGTGAGGAAGGTGAGGAAGATGAGGAAGGTGAGGAAGGTGAGGAAGGTGAGGAATATGAGGAAGGCGAGGAGGGATAAGGAAGATGAGGAAGATGAGGAAGGTGAGGAAGGCGAGGAAGGTGAGGAAGATGAGGAAGGTGAGGAAGGCAAAGAAGGTGAGGAACATGAGGAAGGTGAGGAAGGTGAGGAAGGTGAGGAAGATGAGGAAGATGAGGAAGGTGAGGAAGGCGAGGAGGGATAAGGAAGGTGAGGAAGATGAGGAAGGTGAGGAAGGTGAGGAAGGTAAGGAAGGTGAGGAAGGCGAGGAAGGTGAGGAAGGTGAGGAAGGTGAGGAAGATGAGGAAGGCGAGGAGGGATAAGGAAGATGAGGAAGATGAGGAAGGCGAGGAAGGTGAGGAAGGCGAGGAAGATGAGGAAGGCGAGGAGGGATAAGGAAGGTGAGGAAGATGAGGAAGGCGAGGAAGGTTACCAGGCCGGATCCCGCGGCGCCCAGCAGCGCGCGGAAGTCGCTGGAGTCCGTGCGGCGCTTCGGCTGCCGCCAGGAAGGGCAGAGGAAGAGGAAGAGGAAGAGGAAGAGGAAGAGGGAGGAGGAAGAGAAAAGCAGAGAATCTGTTAGAGGAGAGGAAACCAGCCCGGAAAAGGAAGGAGAGAGGAAGGGAGGAAAAAAAGGAAAGGGAAAGGGAAGGGAAAGGGAAAGGGAAAATGGAAAAGGGAAAGGGAAAAAGGGAAAGGGAAAGGGGAAGGGAAAAAGGGAAAGGGAAAAAAGGAAAGGCAAAAAGGGAAAGGGAAAAAGGGAAAGGGAAAAAGGGAAAGGGAAAAAAGGAAAGAAAAAGGGAAAGGAAAAGGGAAAGGGAAAGGGAAAGGTGAAGGGGAAGGGAAAAAGGGAAAGGAAAACGGGAAAGGAAAATGGGAAGGGAAAAGGGAAAAGGGAAAAGGGAAAAGGGAAAAGGGAAAAGGGAAAAGGGAAAAGGGAAAAGGGAAAAGGGAAAAGNAAGGAAAGGGAAGGAAAGGGAAGGAAAGGAAAGGAAAGGAAAGGAAAGGAAAGGAAAGGAAAGGAAAGGAAAGGAAAGGAAAGGAAAGGAAAGGAAAGGAAAGGAAAGGAAAGGAAAGGAAAGGAAAGGGAAAGGAAAAAGGGGAAGGAAGGAAGGAAGGAGGAGGAGGAGGAGGAGGAGGAAGCAGGCAGTACCTGCCGGTCGTTCTCGACGTCGTAGCCCAGGCTGATCAAACAGGCCTTGAACTCCTCCGGGCCCAGGGCGCCGCCGTGGTCCTGAGAAACGGGGCAAAAATGGGCGAAATGGGGGAAAACGGGCGGGGAACAACCCCGGGGGCGGCTGCGGGCGGATCCCGGATCCCCCCGGATCCCCCGGATCCCCCGGATCCCCCCGGATCCCCGACCTTGTCGAAGTGGTTGAAGGAGGCGCGGAACTCCTGCATCTGCTCCTGGCTGATGCCCTTGGCGTCGCGGGTGAGGATCTGGTTCTCCACCTCGTTGATGGTGCGGGCGATGGTGGTCAGCAGCTGCTCCCAGCCCACGCGCAGGTGCTGCGGCCACGGCACCGGGGCACTGAGGGGCGGCCGAGCCCCGGCAGGGAGCCGGCACCCACGGGATCGCCCCGATCCCCGCGGGATC